ACTTAAGAAGCGTGGTATGCAGAGGAAACATATATATTATATATATATATATATATATACAATTATCTTCACAAGTACTCACGCAGATGAGGACTTTTCCATGATGACTATTACTAGAAATTTAGATAGCTTTCTACTAAAAATAGAAAGCTACAGTAGCTTTTCAAGGCCACATCTAAGTTTACAGTGAGGGATATTTTTCAATCTAAAAGGTGTTGTCACAGTATGACTGGGACAATAGAATAAACCTATTACGTCTGGTCACAGAATTAATGGGATCACTCAGGCCTTGTTGTTTAGTGATTGTTTCACATGGAAGGTTTCATTAGTGCTCAGGTATGTGGAGGCTAGCAGATCAGAAGAGGATGACAGTGAGGGCGTTTTTTCTATTCCTGGTTCTCAAGGGTGGGATACCACACAAGGAGGAGCTATGCACCTGAAAGATTTCCCTAACTTCTGCTAGTTTCTTCCAAAGCTGTCACTTGTATTAGCCCAATACCATTCCTTGAGAATAAAGCTGAACACGGCATTCCTTTAAAAAAAATGTTTCCTGCAAGGTAAAATCAGGACTCTTAAGTTTAACATAACCAGCCATCAACAGTCTAGGGTGAAGTGCATCCCTGCTTCCTTTCCAATCTCTTCCGCAGTCTTGTTTTCCTGTTACAGCAGATGTCTCCTGCTTCCCAGATACACTGGCATGTTCCACAGTCCTTGTCTCGGTACAGGTCGATCCTTTTACTTAAAACTCCTTCTTTTCCTTTCTTCATCAATTCTTACAAAACCAACATCAGCTAACCCTCTTCCTTAAACCCCCTGATTTGCCGGCACAGACTAATTTACTTTGACATTAATAATTTTGTACAAATAGAGTCTTGTCTTATATCAATGAACGTGTGTTAGTGCACTTCATCTATATGCTACCTCTCTCACCTTTTAAATTAAAACTCTCTCGGGGACACGAATTGCATTTCTCATCTTTATATGCCCAGCGTGTATCATGTCTACTTAGGAGAAACAACAAGAATAGACTAATAATAGAAATAATATCTAATATTTACTGAATTCTGACAACATGAAAGGCCTTATGTAGTTCTTTGGCGGCGTTAACTAAATTCATCCTCACAACCCCAAAGAGGTGTGTCATATTGTCATACTTTTCCAAAAGAGAAAATGTGATTGAATCACAGAAAAGATATGCAAACTGCCCGAGATGACACAAAATGAGCATTAAATCAATAAATTTTCATTAGAATGTGATGAGCTACCACCCGGGCTGCTTTTTATTCTTGCCAAAAGATTCATAGAAGAGACCCTGCTTATTGGGATGAAAGATTTAGACAGAGTTGAGGGAAAACTATCACACAGGAGCCCAGTCAATTATAAGTCATTTCAGTGGGAAATATAACAGCTACCACTTGCTCCTTTGGAAGTTCTCCTTGTGCTAGACAAGATGGAACATTTTAGTTGTCTTATTTCCTGTCTACAAATCTCCTCAAAATGAGTAAATCTGGGACGTGAAGCATATCCTGGTACATTATTTTTCTGAATATAAAAATTAGATTTCTTGATAAATTATTTCATATGTGCCCTGTCTGCCTGTAGGGAGCAGTTGGACGTATTGTGATGAATTGTTTGTGTGTTAATTTCTAGAAGCTTAGGTGCACACGTGCATGTTTCTGTTTCAGGATATCTTCACAGGTACAACAAATTAAGTTGCCAATGCTTAGAACTGAAGTCACTCCCTGAGGAAAGATATTTTGAAGAAATTATCTGTGAAAAATATTTTGCACTTACCTTTGTTCTTACAGCAGCACTTCCATGGAGTGTTAGAAATCTTTGTGCTCTGGGACTAATCTGGCAAGCAAGCTCTGAGCTCTGGTTCTGCTTGCTAGACCATACAAATTCTTGCATGCTCCTTTTTTCTATGATTGCATTTTTTCATCTTGAAAAGAAAGCTTTGGCAAATGATAGTTTGGGAAATGTCAGTTCCGATGTCGGTGAAGTGCCATAAGTATTAAGAAAGGCCACAGGCAGTTTCATAGGTACATACCCTGCATTTGTGAAGTGGCCTATGGTAAGAAGGGATTATTCTGGGTTAATGGTCTGCTGTTACTGATTTTAAATTCTTAGTAATTTTTTTTTTTGTACCAGGGATCAAACTCAGGTCCTTTTGCTTAAGAAGCAGGCACTGAAACCACTAAATCCTGGGCCCTAAATTCTTAGTAATCTTTGACATATCATCTCACATTTTTATTTTGCAGTGGGCCCTAAAAAGTTATTTAATTATTACTCCATAAGAGTGTGTGAATTCTGTAGTCCATGGTGCCTGGCGCATACAGTAATGTTCAATGATATGTCAGCCATCACTCATTCTCCAAAAGAGCTTTTAGTTTTTTAGGTGCACCTCCAAAGTCCTGTCTTCTGAGGTTTTCCAGTCTAGTATCGATGCAGAAAGTCATGGTGAAGTTCATCCCAAATATCCTTGTGCATTTGGGTAACACTTGGTACATACGTTAAGACACTCTACCTCATTGGTCTAATTCTCTATGATTACAGATCTGATGGGATGGAAACTGTGATAGCTATCAATTGGGATGAGACAAACATGTCTTTCAAATAGTGGGCCACATAGTTCAATAAGAGACATAAGAATTGCCTCTTTTAGGCTGACTAATAATGGCTTCAGTTGATAATGTATATCACTGATATTTCTCCACAAATGCAGTTGGAGAAGATCTAATGTTCTTCTCTTGCTTTTATTATTTTACAGACAGTTTGAACTCCAGAAGGACCAACACCAGATAAATTATGAATGTTGAACAAGATGACCTTACATCCACAGCAGATAATGATAGGTCCTAGGTTTAACAGGGCCCTATTTGACCCCCTGCTTGTGGTGCTCCTGGCTCTTCAACTTCTTGTGGTGGCTGGTCTGGTGCGGGCTCAAACCTGCCCTTCGGTGTGCTCCTGCAGCAACCAGTTCAGCAAGGTGATTTGTGTCCGGAAGAACCTGCGTGAGGTTCCAGATGGCATCTCCACCAACACACGCCTGCTGAACCTTCATGAAAACCAAATCCAGATCATCAAAGTGAATAGTTTCAAGCACTTGAGGCACTTGGAAATCCTTCAACTGAGTCGGAACCATATCAGAACTATTGAAATTGGGGCCTTCAATGGTCTGGCCAACCTCAACACTCTGGAACTCTTTGACAATCGTCTCACTACCATCCCGAATGGAGCTTTTGTATATTTGTCTAAACTGAAGGAGCTCTGGTTGCGAAACAATCCCATTGAAAGTATCCCTTCTTATGCTTTTAACCGAATCCCTTCTTTGCGTCGACTGGACCTAGGGGAATTGAAAAGGCTTTCGTACATCTCAGAAGGTGCCTTTGAAGGTCTCTCCAACTTGAGGTATTTGAACCTTGCCATGTGCAACCTCCGAGAAATCCCTAACCTCACACCACTTATCAAACTAGATGAGCTAGATCTTTCTGGGAATCACTTGTCTGCGATCAGGCCTGGCTCTTTTCAAGGGTTGATGCACCTTCAAAAACTCTGGATGATACAGTCCCAGATTCAAGTGATTGAACGGAATGCCTTTGATAACCTTCAGTCCCTAGTGGAGATCAACCTGGCTCACAACAATCTAACATTATTGCCTCATGACCTCTTTACGCCCTTGCATCATCTAGAGAGGATACACTTACATCACAACCCTTGGAACTGTAACTGTGACATACTGTGGCTCAGCTGGTGGATAAAAGACATGGCTCCCTCCAACACAGCCTGTTGTGCCCGGTGTAACACTCCTCCCAGTCTGAAAGGGAGGTACATTGGGGAGCTGGACCAGAATTACTTCACGTGCTATGCCCCAGTCATTGTGGAGCCCCCTGCAGACCTCAATGTCACTGAAGGCATGGCGGCTGAGCTGAAATGTCGTGCATCCACGTCCCTGACATCCGTGTCTTGGATTACTCCCAATGGGACAGTCATGACACATGGGGCTTACAAGGTACGGATAGCTGTGCTCAGTGACGGTACATTAAATTTCACAAATGTAACCGTGCAAGATACAGGCATGTACACATGTATGGTGAGTAATTCTGTTGGAAATACTACTGCTTCGGCCACCCTGAATGTTACTGCAGCAACCACCACTCCTTTCTCTTACTTTTCAACTGTCACAGTAGAGACTATGGAACCTTCTCAGGATGAAGCACGGACCACAGATAACAATGTGGGCCCCACTCCGGTGATTGACTGGGAGACCACCAATGTGACCACCTCTCTCACGCCACAGAGCACAAGGTCAACTGAAAAGACATTCACCATCCCAGTGACTGATATGAACAGTGGCATCCCAGGAATTGATGAGGTCATGAAGACTACCAAAATCATCATTGGGTGTTTTGTGGCCATCACACTCATGGCGGCAGTGATGCTGGTCATATTCTATAAGATGAGGAAGCAGCACCATCGGCAAAACCATCATGCTCCAACAAGGACTGTTGAAATCATCAATGTGGATGATGAGATCACAGGGGACACGCCCATGGAAAGCCACCTGCCCATGCCTGCTATAGAGCATGAGCACCTAAATCACTATAACTCTTACAAATCTCCCTTCAACCACACCACAACAGTTAACACAATAAATTCAATACACAGTTCAGTGCATGAACCGTTATTGATCCGTATGAACTCAAAAGACAATGTACAAGAGACTCAAATCTAAAACATTGACAGTTACAGAAAACAAACAATCAAAAAGAAAAGACAGTTTATTAAAAATGACACAAATGACTGGGCTAAATCTACTGTTTCAAAAAAGTGTCTTTACAAAAAAAACAAAAAAGAAAAGAAATTTATTTATTAAAAATTCTATTGTGATCTAAAGCAGACAAAATTATGTGTATTCCTCAGAACCTGTTTTTGCTGCACTTATTTACTATTTTCCCACATCTCCTCCCTGCCTTCCCTGATTGCCATATTTTTCATAGATCTCAATTCCCTAAAGAACTGGTCTAGGAAATTTTGTAAGAATTCTGTTACACTTTGAGATTTTTATGGAGAATTCTAGTGAGATCCAGGCTATTCTCTGTCTCTCCCTCTCCCTCTCCCTCTCTGTCTCCTTTGTTTTTTTTTTCCTTTGTCACTCATACCTTTATGAAGTAGTCCAATGGGGAATGCAATATTAGAAATAGATTTTTAAGAAAGAATAAGGAAAAATGCAAGATCTTATATTTTTCATGTAATGACCTGTTCTGTATATTTGAGGAAGACCACTCCATGGAAAGAAAAAAAAGCAAACAACAGATTAATTTACATATGAACATCTATAAAACCCATGACTTTTAAACAACTCTAGATCCAGAATTTGTAGTTCAAAAGCTTAAAATATGATTATAAATAAAATATTGTTGGTTTTTCTGTACCTGGACACAACTCATTTATAGTATGTTCATTAGATCTCTACATGCTAAGAAAATACTACAGTATTCTTTTTAAACACAGGGTCCATCTCTACTGGATTCTGCTTCACAAATTGACTTGAGTTTCAGATCAATATTAAAGGATGCTGTGGTACTATCCCCTTCTTATTAGGATTATCTTCTGTAGAATGCACAGATTGAAAAACAATGATTTTTGTGAAGTAAATTCTATTCCACTTGGAAGTAAATATTAGTATAATTTACTTACTGTCTTATAAATAAAATTTCACTGGCTAGATGAAATGTGACCACAAAAGGTGGGAATTTTCTAAATCATCTATAGTTGGAAAATAATGTTTGGTTCTGAGTGTTAGAAATTTTAGTTCAACAGTAACTATTAAAGACTCAGTATGTGCTGAATACTAATTTTGGTATTGTGGGACACAACTAAGACCTGGATCCTACCCTTGAATGATTCTCAGTCTATATGAAAAACAATTAAAGAAATATTCCCCGCTTTATTTACTAGAGGTGACCCTTATTTAGAGGTGGATAAGCTATGTATTATGACTCTGAAGTTTCAAAATATCAGGGTATTTTATTACATAAACCTCCTGCTATGCTGTCTTCCATCCCTTGGCAGACTTGTCTTTATTTTTGCAAATGCAGATTCCTAAGCTTTAAGGAAATACACATATTAGAGTTACTCTGAAGGATAGATGAACATATACCAGGAGAGAGCAATATATTTTTTCAAAGTCACCAAAGGCAGTTTATCTCATTAACCCCTTTGTTAAAGTTAGGCTCATTTTCTTTCCTTCTTTATTTCTTTTAAGTTTTCTGAGACAGGGTCTCACTATGTAGTTGAGACTGATTTGGAACTCACTATGTAGCTTAGGCTGGTCTCGAACTCACAGCGGTCCTCCTGCCTCAGCCTCCCAAGTGCTGGGATTACAGGGATGTGCCATCATGCCCAGCTTAGGATCATTTTCTTACAGACCCATCACATCCAAAATTTTTCAGAAACATTGGAAGTCAAAAAATTGCTTCAACTGACAAAATAAAGACCAAGAACCTGAGCCTAAGATCAGGTGCAGGCTCAATCCAAAGAATATTTAAATTACCTAATCAAAAAAAAAAAAAAACAAGATAAAAACAACTGTCCCCAGACATGTAGAATGGGCTAGTTGTCTTCTGGTGGGTCACGGCACCCTTTCCCCTTCAAGAGAGCATAAATGTACCCTGTGCCAGAAAAATAACTGTATACAGCACTTTTAAAGAACCAGAGGAAAATTTAGATAGAAAAACATACATTAGCTTCCCAGTATGGGATGCTTTGGTTGTGCACCTCAGCACTTTACTAGCATTTTAATGCACTGTGTGTGTGTGTGACATCTGTCTTTTATTTTCTGTGCAGTGAAATATGTATGTCTTATCACTGGCCTTAAAACTTGCCACCTTGATGGTGAAATAAGAATCGACTAAGCTGAAGAAATCTTCAGCCCCTAATGGATGAGCAGTGTGGATACTCACATTTAATTCTGCAGACTGGACCACATGCTAGAGCTTTGTGATCTCCAGGTGTGAAAAACCAATCATTACTAGCAAAGTAGGTCAGAGAAACGCGCAGAAAGGATAACAAATGAATGAGAGCACACAAACCTTTTGCTTCTGTTTTTTGATTGCCCATTCTTTGTTTTCTTCTACTTCCCTTTAGTGGAAACATAATTCACATTTTCTTTTGCAGTGGAGTGGATACAAGCAAGGGAAAAAGCACGTTTCCTGTCATTTGTGAAGTTATTCATTACTGAATGTACTTAATACTGTATTCCTAAGCTGCAGGCCTCTCTCTCTCTCTCTCTCTCTCTCTCTCTCTCTCTCTCTCTCTCTCACACACACACACACACACACACACACACACACACACAC